AGCTAGTCAAACTAGATTCCGGGCATTGAAGTACGAAAATGGTATTGCAGGGAGTGCCACCATTGTAGTTAGAGTTATAGCATGCTTTCAACCTCTTCAGGATTGCCAGGTTCGTTTTTCGTTCATTGTTTTTCCATTTATTTATATTTTTTACAATCCTTTATGAAGGAATTATATTCACTTGGTTACATTTGCTTTCTTAATTTATGAGATTTCTCGTTCTTGTTCTTTTTTTTTTACTGAATTTCCCCTCTTTGGTTTTTGCCAGGCTGAATATTTCCGTCATTTGCTTAAGCCTGTCACGTAGTTTAGTTTTACATTTCCGTGTTCAAGATAAGCTGGAGTTGTTAGTTTTTTCCCTTGTTTTTGAGAGAAACTGCAAGTAAACCGCTATTTCTACTGCCACAACATTTAACTTCTGGTATGCATGCTTGTACTTGGTTTTATGATTATCTACTTTTTATTCTCGGAATATCCTTTTTCATATTGGTTTCGTTGTTCTCATAGGTGATTCTTCTGGTTGGATGGGAGAAGGCTGCGAATCCTGGTTTCCTCCACAGCAATTTGATTGGCAATCACCCAAATTGAATCCTTTGGCTGCTTCACATCCTTTGGGGCAGCAAATTATTAATCCTCAATTCGTAAACTCTGGCTCTAATATGGACTCTGCTACCGAGACTTTTCCGGTTTATGGATATCATGTTTTACCTCACTTGCTGGTTGGCCAAGTTAATGAATCCCATGGTCGGTGTTACTGTTTACCCCACTCTCAACAGGTTGTTGCACTGCTTCAAACACTTTCTTGAAAGAGCGATTCCCACTTGACCCTTATGGGAATCGTACGGAGAACATTGTCCCAAAGGCAGGGTCTGGGCGCTCTCAGAAAAGATTCCTTGTTTTTGACCAATCTGGTGGTCAAACTACCGTGATGCTTAGTTCTGCTTTTGGGACTCCTATTAAGGGCGGTTCTTTGGGTCCCAAATTTCCTTTTGGTAGTTACTTGAGTAGGGAGGATCCCTTGGCTAAAGTGAACCTGAATCTTCACCCTGGACCAGCATTTAAAGGTGTATTTGATGACAGTGGGACTGATGTGCAAAGTGAAATGCGCGAGGACACCGAAGAACTCAATGCCTTGCTTTACTCTGATGGTGATAGTGATTACACCGAGGATGAAGAAGTTGCAAGCACAGGTCACTCTCCTAGCACAATGACAGCCCACTATGAGCAATCTGAGGAAGGTGCTGAAGGGGTTGCTAGCTCGACTGATCTAACCAAAAAGCGAAAACTGCTCAATGACAGTAATGGTTATATGCAATTCCCTGTGAACAATACTAGTTCAGTGAATCATAATAGATGTTCTGAGCTCGAGGATGATGCTGATTCCAGTTTTACCAATGGCCAAAATCCAGGATCCAATGATATGGATTCGTCTTCGGGTAACAAGAGAATGAGAGTAGTTAAAATTTGTGAGACTGAGTGTATTAAGAAGCTTAATTCCTGGTGTTGAGGGAAAGGATGCTATTATGGTTCTCGATGAAGCCATTAAATGGATAAATCTCTAAAACATAAAGCTGAAACCCTGGGGCTTGGAGCTCTATGAGCTGCCATTGTTTATGTTAGTAGTGTTAGTGTATACTATCTGTCATAATTGGGCATTGTTAATTGAGTGAGTTAAATAAATGAAGTTTAGGCAGTTGTGTTTGGAGATGCTTGCATTACAGATTATCCGGAGCTACCAACAAAGGAGATGAAGATCCAAAGATAGTGGAGAGAAAAATCGAATTCAATATCGTCTTTCTTGAATGACTTGAGTTGGAAACCAGTACCTTTAGCTTGAAATCTCACTGCATCATGAGAAAGCAGGATAGTGAATCATTAGTATTGGGGTTTAGTAAAAGTAACAGCACTCACAGCCCGACATGAGAAGATGGGTTAATGGAAGAGGGATCCTCATAAGGGGTGTGCTAAGTGCACGCCTCTTTGGTGCTTTGGGTCCCATCCTCACTTTCTTCACCCTTTTTGTATTGTTGTTAAGCGTATTCCTTGTGGCTTTCCCTTTTTCTTTGATGTAGAAAGCTGCACGAGCAAAATGAGCCAATCTCCCATTTCATCACCCAACAACTGTGAAGGGGGTCCCAAGACGTGAGCTGTGATGCTCCGGTCCTTTATTTGTGTCTGATGTCTACTTGAAATCTAAACATACATGTGCTCGACATATAGCAGTATCGGACACATACGAGTGCGAGTAACTCTTCAAGGACCTTTTCTGTATTTGTTGTTGCTTTTGTGTTGGTGGTGTACCGTGGGGTTATCAATGGTGTTTTTTTAGCTTTGAGATTGTAAATTGTAATATATTGATGGGTTAAGCAATGAGAGTCGGTATCATTCATGGTTGGGTGTAATCGAATGTTGTATAAATGGCATACGGTGGTGTGTGTGTGTTTGTCTTGAAACTACGTATTTACGTCACATGCATTAATTTGTTATGTAGGAGACAGTGATGTCGGCTCACTTGCAAATGAAGGCAGCAAATTCTTTTGCTTGGTTCCTTCATGAAAAGGAAAGCAGCAAATAATTGATACGTACACCCTTTATTTCTCCAATGAAGTTCAATGCTTATTTTGTGTAGCTCCGTTTTAGTAGCATGAGACAAACATAGAAATTAGGTCTTTAATAATAGGTATCGAAAAAATTGAATTGTAAAAGTAAAATTATAAATAAATTTGTTTGTAAATTGTTTTCTTTATTATGTTTCATAAGATATATAATAAATACATAAAATTCTAAATAGAAAACATCAAGAAATTTCATTAAACACCCAAATACTCACACAAAATAAGTATGACCATCTTTTAAGAGGATCAAAATTCGATTTCAATCTTCTTCATATTGTCAAAAAAATAATAAAAGAATAATTGAATTAAAAATGAATAATTTAAAAATATCACATCAACATCGTTGTTAACAAAAAAAAAGAAATAAAATAATGTTAAGTATATTTTGAAATAATAATAATAATTGGATAACTAAAACAAAAATAAAATAATAAATAAGTGACTAAATACACAATTTATCATTTTTAGTTATATATGGACTTCATAATTTTAGACTCGGGGACCGGGGGGCTGGGTAGATGTCACTCTTGTCCATACTCAAATAGGGGCCTGATTTTGTGTAATATACATTTAAATTTTCATGGAAGACGTTACTTCAGAACATTCATATGCTATTTTTTTAATCTTTGAATATAATAAAATAGTAATAGTGAGTAACAATACCTTTTTATTAACTAAGGTGATTACAATATAGTATATGTTCAAAAGACTCTCAACTATTTAATAATAAATGTTCAAACATCTCTACAGAAATTGTACTTGAACTCAAAATCCCTAGAGATAACAATCATTCGTTAACAATTAAATACAAATACCATACTAAAATTATTTAAAATACAATATAAAAAAAATATTAACACGGTTTGATATATGCTAATAGCAGTTAAAGAACATAAGTTATGATATTATCAAAGTTAATATATATGAAGTACAATTATATTCATTAAAAATCATAAAAAATAACACAAAAACATCATAAATGTAGTGAATGTATAATCTCTTGCACATCCTTTGTGTTAAATTATAATTACGTGCTTGAAACGGGGAGAAGGAATACATGTCAAAGTTGGGTATCAATTTTGATGATAGACTTAAGATTGATGGATTCCGTTTTAGGGAAAATAAGGAAACAATTCCAACTCCAAAAGCCTATGTTTTAAGATCAACTACAACCTTAAACTCTAATTCCTTATTTCTTAAGGTAAACTACGCGTTTAATGTATATACTATTAGTTTTGATGTGTTTTAATACCTAATTTTTTAATTTTTTCAAAATCATACCTAACGTTTAACTTTTATTTCATTTTAGTACCCATACAATTAAAAACTTTGCACGTTTAATACCGAAACTATCAGTTTTTATCCGTTTTAATACCTAAACTTTCAAAAAAATCAAAACTTAAAACATTATACTAAAATGAAACAAAAATTAAACTTTAGGTATAATTTTGAAAAAAAATTTAAATACTAAAACGAATCAAAACTAATAATTTAGATACTAAATATATAATTTACCCTATTTTATTATTTAGGTAAAAATATTTTTTTAATAGATTGAGATAATAATAAGATATTATTTGTTCATAATATTTTTTTAACCATTGGTGGCACACACACTAAATAAATATAAATGCTCCAACCCAAGACCTCAAGAGAAAGTAACACTCATTTCAACTACTGAGGTCAATCTTAAACTAAAAAAAAAAATTCTTTATTACTCCTATCATTCTTATATCTCAAGAAAATTTTACTTAATTTTTAAAATTTTCAGTTGTAATCATGTTTACCACGGCCCATTTTTCATATTAAAAAAAATCTGTGCTATCCAAAACATGTCACACAATCCCTAATGCTCCATATGTTAAATTAAAAAAAAGTAAAGTATACAAATCATCCCAAACTATAAAATATTATTTTATTGAATCCTCCGACTATTAAAAATTATAAAATAATTCTTTGACTATAAGGCATTACTTTTTTAAGTCCTTAATTATTATAAATTACAAAATGGTCATCTGACTATTAGTTATGATTCAAACTCGTCCTATTTCGTTAAAAGATTAATAACAGTTTGAGCTAGACGTTAACCTGCTGATTGAAATATGATAATCGTTTTGAGATTCAGGTTTCATATTATATCATATATAGTCAGTTTGTTAACGTCAAACTCAATAAAGTAACACCCTATAGTCGGGAACTATTTATGTAATTTACCCAAAAAAAAATAAAGAAAAATAATGGAAAAATTAAACATATGCTTTCCCGATACGAACTCATATCAACATGCATACTTAATACAGAGGCAGACCAAACAAATTAAAATTTGTACTTTGTAGATTAGGAAAATGGTATGACGTTCATTTGCTACACTTGTAACATAAAATGGGTAAAGCAATAGCAAAGCACACGAACAAATGTAAAGGCAAATTTGCTAAAACCGCGTTTCATTTTTCCTCCCTTCATTGATTTAAGCTCCATATAAGAGAGATCATGAACCATGCTACTCATCCATATCTTCAAAACTTATGTTTTGATATTTCTGAAATTTGCGAGTCAATGCTGTAAAATTTATATTGTAAAACCTCTCGGAATGCCACAGAGAATACATACTTGTAAATCGGAAGATTTGTGAAAACCGCTGTGGTGAACTTGACGCTGAAGATGCAAACTCAGGGGGCCAAACGAACAATTTTCCAAATCCGTCTTCCATCAATCTCTTCAGGGGAATATTCCAACCTGCCAAAATACCACATATATTACTATCTACAGGGCCAACTTTCATTTGAATTTTAACCATACAGCAGCACAAAAATAGACTTCTGTTACTCCCTGTGGCATTTTTCGACAGCTAAGGGTGTTGTATGACTCGGGTGCAAGTGTCAGCTATGTTTCGGGTATATTCACTTCTTATTTTTATAAGTTTCTCCACGTATTTGGAGGGGCCTTAAGAGGATCATATTCCCGAATTGATATTTGGATACAGATTGATAGGGGCGTTGGACATGAGTACTTCAAGAAAAAATGGAGAGTCTGAACTGATGTGTTCAGGTGGGAGCCAAGGGGTGGACGGCAAGGAGCAGACAGTGAGAGAGATGGCACAGGAAAGTAAGAAGAATTTTGAGTGACTCAGACTTGCTTGAATAACTGTATAAGGTGAGTTAACTTGTACAAATAGAATAATAGAAAAAGTAATGTCAACTGTAAACTACTTCAGGAATTGGCCTAATCATCAGATCATAATGGAAATAATATTTATCCAAATAAGGACCCAAATCAAATGGTTTGTGCTATTAATTGGATTCCTTTTCAACCCAATATAGAAGGGTGTGACCTTGGGATAGATTTTGAATAAAATTCTCTTTCTATGCATTATAGCAAAAGGCAAAGAAAGTAAACAACCTGTCATGCAATCGGGACGGCTGACCTTGCCAAAACTCGAAACGGTTTGGTTGAAGTCTGTACCCTCCCCAATGTTTAGGCTTCGGGATCAAACCCCTGCATAAAGAAAATTTGTAAGGGCTCTTTTGTTCTTGATTTCCACCCATCGGAAGCTTTTCCATATTCGCGGTCATTTTAGACGATGGACACATTGGATCGATATTATAGATCGTTATTGAATACAGAAGGAAATAGATCAGGCACTTCCTTGGGAAAGAGATTCACAGTAATCAAGCCAATAAAATAATATGTGCACAACTGCTTATAAAAGAATTTGGCACAAATCAAATTATTATGGTCAAACATCAAAAACCCAAAAACTCACTCCTCGGAGTATTTTTCTTCTAGTTCTTTGTATTGCTGGTGTAGTACATGGCGTCCAGGAACTACAGTACTCTGAAACAAGAAATCGGAACTTATTTTTTTATTTAAACTGATCATTTTTACTTCTAATGGACATTTTTTTTATAGGAACTTCTAATGGACATTAATGGTGATAAAAGGCTCTGGACATATCAGTGCATCTTAAAGAATGTTAAGTCACAGACCTGCTTGCTTACTATTGCTCCGATTTGACTTCCTCGAGGACGGCTGTGAAAGTATTGCTCTGACTCCTCATCAGAAACTTTCTGAACAGATCCTTCCACTCTAACCTGAAATCAGAGTTCATTACAGCCCATGTATTTTTCATCATGGAAACATATCAACCTGCTACAAATTTTTACTATTTAATCAGATTTTGTTCCGCATTGCATCAAACTTCAATACTATATCAAAAATGGAGTTCAATGAATCAAGTTATAAGTCTAAAGGTCCAATACAATTTTCCACATAAAACGAACATTTCAATTTATTAAAATAGCTGTTAGTTATGCCTTTATGTTAGCATTCAAGATCACAAGTTGCTACTGAAGTGGAATAATATAAGTCTAAATTTTATCTTATCTCCTATGAAACTTTATCCTAATCATATATTATAAATAAATTAATCACCTAAAATAAATCAAACTTCTAAGTGAAATAAAACTCCTAGTTGTCAGCTTGGTTTTAAAAGGCGCAAGGCGCACCTAGGCGCAAAAGGTCCCTGGAGCCTTGTAGGCGAGGCAAATTTTTATACTAAAAAAACCTATAAACTATTTATGGAACTTATTTTATACTTAAAACAATATTATAAACATATCTATGCTAAAAAGTTTATAAATTAATAGTATGAGTAAATTTATACTCATTAACCACTAATTAACTCCTAAAATACTTGTCTACGATGTATTGATTTATACTTAAAGTTTTTAATATTTAATACTATTATTTATTTATTTTTTATAAACATATTTTAATCCCCTTTCAGCAAACCCTACACAATTATTGATATATACTTAATATTTTTAATACTTAAAACTATTATTTCATTTATTTTTAAATGATACAAATTTATTTTATTATCAATTTAAAATTTGTAATTATTATAAAAAATAATTTTTATATTTAATAAAATTTTATTAAGCAAAAAATATTTTATTATTTTAAAAATTAAAATTAATTATGTATTATTAAATAACTAAATTTCTAAAAAAGGCATACTAAGCAGACAATGACATATTTTAGGTTAAAAGAAAAATAAACATTAGAGTTGGACTATAAATTTGGACAATAGGGTTGGGTAGGCCTGTAAATGAACTGAACATTCAGTGAACCGTTCATGAACTGTGCGGCGGGAAGTTCGTTTATGTTCGTTTATTTATTAAATGAACGAACATGAACAAAATTTTGCATTCGTTTAATTAAATGAACGAACAAGAACAAAGGGCTCGTTCGTTCATTTACGTTCATGAACGTCGATTATATGTTCGTTTATGTTCGAACAGAGGACAAGTTGAATATGTTACGAAGATTATTGAAGTTGTTTGGATTTCAAGAAGATTGTTTTGTTGAACAAATTAACTTTAAGACTTTATTATGTTCATATAGTTTATTTATGATTTATGTATTTTTTTGTCGTATTCGAACAAATTAACTCTAAAGTTGCAGGTTATTTTAAAGAATTTTAAGTTATTATTCTTGTTTTTTACTTTTTTTACATTCATTTGTTGTGTTCGAATAGGTTTGTTTTTTGTGTTTGTGTTGTTCGTTTATATTCGCTTGTTTTGTTCGTTTATGTTCGTTTATCATTTAAATGAACGATCATGAACAAGCTATATTCTTTAATGAACAAATATGAACAAAAAAAAATTTGTTCGGTTATGTTCGTTTATTTATTAAATGCACGAACATGAACATACCTCCGTTCGTGTGCGTTCGGTTCGTTTACAGGCCTAGGATTGGGCTTGTTAATAGGTCAAATATTAGGGTTAAGAAATGAGAAAATGTGATAAAAGAAAAAGTTTTCTAGACTTCTTCAGTCGTCTTCTTCCTTTCTTATCACTGCAATTTTTTTTCTTCTTTCTTTTTTAATATGTTCTACTTCCTATTAATATCTTTAAAAAAAATCCGAAAGGCGCTGCGCCCCTTGTATCTCGCCTTGCCTTATCCCAGGCGGGCGCCATCTTCAGTGCCTGGCTGTGCCTCGCGCCTAGACGAGCCTCTTTTAAAACCAAGGTTGCCAGCAATTTCTAAACTTCAATCCAACTTTACACTTGTCAATCACACCTATGTTACTCGGACTCAGAAGTAAGTGTCGAATATGCTTATGTATATAACGCATGTCCAACTACGTAGCGGAGCGACAACTTCGAGAAACACGGATATAGAGCAAGATGGAATTGTCTTGCCTATTGAAACAAAATATCAACAGTAAATTGAAGCTGGTTGCGAATGGGGATAAAACATCCAAATTCACCACATAAGAATATCAGTATAGAAAAAAAATAGAATAATATATAAGAGTTCAATGGTTGGCATGAACCAACGTTGAATCTTTTTTTTTTTGATAAAAATGGGAGGCCCCATTAAAAAACCCGCTTCATAACCGTCGAGCTTAGGGCTGTAAACGAGCCGAGTCGAGCTCGAGTATTGTTGAGCTCGACTCCAAAACTCGCGAGCTAAAAATTATCATGCTCAGCTCGAACTCAAAATATAATATTAAAACTCGACTCGAACTCAAAAAAAATTTTAGGAGCTCGATTTAAGCTCGAACTTTATTCAAGATTGAACTCAAACTCGAATTTGAACCTACAAAAATCTTATATTACATTTAAAAATATATTTTTAAAAATTTATAATTATCAATAATGTATTTTTAATATATTTTTAATAATGTAATTTTAAAAAATCTAAAATTATAATATAACATTTTTTTCCGAGTAGCTCGCGAGCTTTTTGAGTTGAGTATTAAGTAGCTCGTTAAGAATTCGAGTCGAGTTCGAGCTCGAGTCGAGTTCATTCGATTCGAGTGTTGATCGAGCTTTGACCGAGTCGATCTCGAGTAGCTCGCGATCTATCCCGTCTCATTTACAGCCTTAGTTGAGCTACAAAAATAGCTCAACGGACATTGGAAGGAAAAGAAGAGTACCTCAAAATAATCTTAAATCAATAATTTCAGTCTTAGCATGCGGATGTTAGTTATATGATCGAATATAAACATTGCTTTTGTGAAGAGTCATCTTGACAAAATATTTGTAATAAAGATCATTTTAACATCAAGAGTTTCATAATAGAAAAGCACAAGCCAGAATCTGAAGTACTACCTGTCGGTTAAGCCCATCCCAATAGAAAAGAAGTGCTGCATGAGGATTTTCTGATAATTCACGTGCCTTCTGACTTTCATAATTGGTGTACCTGCTCAAAGTAAACAAAAATGGTAAGAAATACCCCCGAACAATATGTAACAACATTATTACATGACAGTAACAAAGGAACACTAACCACACAAAACCACCCTTGTCCACCCCTTTTAGCAATACCATTCTTGATGAACTGCAGCAGAAGGTAAGATGGTAAAGAAAGATGAGAAACAGTCAGCCAACAAACATTAAAATGTAAGCACCAAAATACTGCAATTAGCGTGTAAATTAAGCTGCTGACAGTCATCATTACCATATCTATTTCATTCAGGACTTCTAGAAGTGCAGGATATAAGAATTATTTCAGGATGAAACTCAAAAAGATTGTCATTGGTTTAAAGCAACTAAAGAATGGCAGAAATCGATGATGATGACTAACAGTCTTGCACTTGTAAAATTGCATTGACTAAGTACGAGCATTAAAAAATTTCAAACAACATCTAGACAGAAGGACCAAAAACCATTCACAACCTAAAGGTAATTCATTTACAGTTCCATAAGAAATAAAATTTTACTGAACTTGCGGAAACCCTTTCGGATATAAGATTAACCAGGCACATATTTTATACAAACAAATTCTCTCACGTGCTTTCAACATATTTTCATAATGTTAAGTATAAATGTTTCCTGATCAACATATATTTTCTTACTGCAAAATGTCAAGACTCTTCATTCTAAATAATTCGCTCAGCGAAGCTAGTGATTCTTCATTACTGAAGATCCTTCAATGAATATAAAGACAATTAGTGATATTAAAACCAACTTTAGTTAATATATTCTTGTGTACAAAATTACTATTTTGGTTAATTTTTTCCACTATTTGGGCAGTTTTATATGTGATACTTCCGCAAAGACATTGCGTGAATTCACATTAATATTTAAAATACGGGTTTGGCTAATAACAATTAAAATGTTCAGCGACTTTTTAATTAATTAAGTTCCCAAATTTTCTTAAGGATCCCATTGGGACTGGAGCATGAGTCCAAAAATACATGTGCTTATTTCTTAATAATATTTACCCTTACAATAGCATCGAGAATCCAAATTGTCATGTTTTATACCTTCAAGGAATTCAGACTCGTGAAAAGAAAACGAAAAACAAAATGCGCATGAATAAAGCAGAACAATAGCATAAAAACCAGAAGCATACGGTTTTCCATCTTCTCCGGTGGTTGACAATGCCATAGCATTTGGTTCCTTTAGGCCGGCAGTCACCGCATCATCAAACCATTTGTGAAACTGTAAGACAAGTGAAGTTTACATTTTGAAACAAATAAATGCTATAAATTATTGTGAGAAAATACAAATGAAAACAAAAGGCTTTTCAAATAAACTAAATTAGTAAATATTCCCTCTGCCCCAGTAAATTTGTCACATGTTGGCTTTTGGTGGTCAATTTTTTTGACTTCTTATTTAAAATTTATTTATTGAGAAAAAATTGAGAAAATATGTTTTAAAAACTTCTAACCAAGTAGTTTTTAAATATGTATTTTATAAAATTTAATTATTTAAAATATTTAAGATAGTTTATAGTTATGGTCAAAGTTTGAATTTTTTTTACCACCAAAAGTCAATAAGTGCAAATTTAGTGGGACATGTTTGTCTTGAATCTGTACCTGATCCAAAGGATCAGCCTCCACCTGCTCCTCAAGGAACTCTGGAGATATATAATTCTCTCGGAGAGCTGATATGTCAAGTTGTGGAGGTTTTCCAATTCGAACACACATAGATGTGCCAGAATATTGGGGAAGGCAAAGATTATACTTTTCTGCAATAGGTGGCGGGACAAATCTACCGCCTAGAAAGTGATGAGGTCCAGAAAATTTCTTTGCACATAGTTTTGGAGCAGTCAGAGAAACCTTTGACATTAGATAATTGTAGTTAGATATTTAATATAAAGGGCTGCCTAAGTATGAGTTTAAACAAGTAGTTTTTGAAGAATCTAAGGAAGCAAAAAAGAACATACCAACATGTCGGGTTTAATTCCTTCACCACCACCGTCACCCTCTTCGACATGCCACCCGGATGGAATATCTACAGACACAATAACAGGGGACTTTTGTTGAACTTGTTCATAATTATGTAAGTTAACCAGCTTCTGGATCAGATCGTCGAAAGGCGGCCTCGGTGCTCCTGAAATGATGAATTAAGATGATGAAATATGCAGTTTATTAAAAATCTACCTAGAATTACCAAATGAAACACACACATACAAGATAAAAAAAATGATGTGATCTGATAGCACCACTGAAAATAAGCGATACTGACAGGAACATAGATTGTATAGGTTTGCTTATTAAAAAAACTGAAACAAAAAAGTATGATTAGTAAGTATTTACCATGAAAAGAAAAGCCGAACATAGCATCTACAATAATGTCGAAGTCCTTTGACAAGTCCACAGGCAGCTCATCAACTGACAGGAAAGGGATTGACAAAGATTCCAGCTACAGAACCAGAAGACCGAATAACAACTCAGATAAACTATATTGTTCAATGTTCAATAACGTTACAACCAGAAACCTAGTAACATACCTGAGTAACAAGACCAGAGTAAAGGGGTTTCTGAGTTCGCTTAGGATAACACACAAAAGGCTTATACCCAAAGTGATACAAATGACGAGCAGCAACCAGACCATCACCTCCATTGTTTCCCGGACCGCAAATAGCAAGAACACGAGTATACTCATTCGGTTTATAAACCTGCAACAAGAAAAAACCTTGAGCATAATTGTCAACTGAACAATAAATATTTGAGTAATATATCCTAGGAGAAGAAACCAATTCAATGTCATGTAAACTGAAAAATAAATAATTGAGTATTTGACATCCTAGGAGAAATCAGTTGAATGTCAGACGGGAAACATACTCAGCAAACTTGGAAAAACTTAAAAACTTCGGAATTTCGTATGAATTCAATTAGTATACATAAACCCAGTAAAATTGTATAAACGAAATGAAAATAATGGTAACAGTCATTACCTCGGCAATAGATGTGGCAACGCTTAAACCAGCCAATTCCTGGAGATTCACATAAACTATAACCATTCAAGCTTTGAAACAAAAACCCAAAAGAAATAAACAGAAAATGACCAAATGCAAATTTAAGAAAACAAAAACAGCTTAACTAACCATAAGCTGATCAACACTAAACCCAAGAGGACCCATGAGAATCTCATCAACCTCAGCAGCTTCTCGTTGTGTGAGGTACGAAATAGAACCCTGATTTAGAACCGAAGAAGCCATTGATTCCACTTCACCGGGATTCGAACAAAACACTCGGATTGCAGGGGTCGAAATAGGAGCCAGAAAACCCTGTGAATCAAAACAACTTAGCTTTAAATCAGATGAAAGGAGGGGAAGGAGAGTTAAAGAGGTGGAGGAAATGACAAGGTCTAACCGGAGAGAAGTGGTTGAGTGGAGGCGATGGTTTGATTTTATAATTGGAAGTAAAGCTCTTATGATATGCGAGAGAGAGTGGTGCTTGGCTGAGAAACGAGCATACCATTTTTCTATTTCCCAACACTCTTCTCATTGTTGTTTATTTTTATTTTAGCATTTTTATTTACGAGTTAAATAAATAACAACAATAATAATTTTTAGGTAAGATATATAAATAGTCCCCGAATTTTTAGGGTGATTTCATTTTGATCATCTAATTTTTGAAATTTATAATACAATTATCAAACTTTTAGTTCATTTTCATTTATGTTCATGTCCTTACCTTCTATTAGTTTTTGTTGACGGGGCAGTTAACCCTCGGCTAACCTTCTTCTTCTTTTTTTATGATGTGGAAGTTAACCATTCTTCTTCTTCTTGTCTATTTCCTTCCTTCTATATAACTATTTGGAGGAACCATCCACATCAAATACACTTACCAAAATAAGATGCGGAATGGCTCTGCTAATTTCACCCCCTATTCTCCGAAACGCTGCAAACTATCTTCTTACTTCTCTACAATTTACAAAAAATCGGATAAAGACAACCTCCAATCTAATTCAGGGGAGTTAGAACCTAGTTCTACATGATTTAAATATAGGAAAACAAGAGGATGTATGTATGTATGTAGGTATGTATCTGCTTACCTTCTTCCCTTTTTGCTTTTACTGGAATTTACATCAGAAACAAGATAGGTTGTTGCTTCAGAGAGATGATAAGCTTTCTTCCATATGTGTAGGCCTTATAAGGCTATAACCTCAAAGAACTGTCTCTTGCACCGAGCCATTGATGAATCCGATCTACTAGTGCCCTTGTTTTAGGATTTTGGTGGACCTGTAAGCACAGGATAGAGTTTCAAAATATCACAAATAATGCTTGAACCTCGAGCGAAAATGTTTCAATGAAATAAAAAAAGGGTTAGCATTTCAATTAACCATGGCTGAGACATGGCTTACAAGTGTAACAGAACTCCCAGCAAAATAGATAAACTGTTCATTATTGCTATCAGGTCTGGGGATTGAAACATGCGAGCTTTTTTGTTTGTGCCCAGAAGATCTCTTAGAATCTTTTGACATCTTAGTTTTGCCAACACGATCCATTTCTTGTCCACCGTTGTCATTGTTGCTTCTCTGGTGCACATGGCTTTTATGTAGATAAACTGTTTAAGGATGCGCCGGAGAGGGAAGTGGTGGGATATGTTCATCAGATGTCGTTGGCCAAGAAGAATGATGGCGGTGCTGAGGCAAGTACGAGAAATGAAGAAAAAGAAAAACGGGAGTGTTAAGGGGGTTAAGTCTCATGTCAACAAAAACTAATGGGAGGTAACGACAGAGATCAAAATGAAAACGAACTAAAAGTTTTATGATTGTATTGCAATTTCAAAAGTTGGGTGACCAACATGCAAGTATCCTAAACATTTGGAGACTATTTGTATACTTTACTCTATTTTTAATTGGAAATTATTTTAAAAATTATTATTTAATATACTAACAGTCAAGAATAAATTTACAAGTCATAATTATGTCATTGTTCATAAATTCGTAAATGATTTATTGTAAATCAATTTAATCTCTTTTTCAAAAAAAATAAATATAAATATTCACAATGAAAGTGTATTTAATGATAATCTTTATTTTAATATAAGGTGAAGTATATGAATGGTCCATGACTATCTGATGTTGTTTTATTGAATCTCATGACTATTAAAAGTTACAAAAATGTATTTTGATTATATAATGTTACTTTGTTGGGTCCCTGACTATTAAAAGTTACAAAATAGTCATTCGACTATTTATTATGCTCCAAATTAGTCTTTTTTTGTTAAAAATTTACGACAGTCTGAGCTGATTGTTAATATTTTCTCTGAGTTATGATAAAATCTAATTTCAGAATCTCAAACGGCTATCATATCTCAAACAGTAGATTAACATCTAACTCTGATTGTCGTTGATCTTTTAATAGAAAAAGACGAGTTTGAAACATAATGAATAGTCATGTAACCATTTTATAATTTTAAACAGTCGGTGGACTCAATAAAGTAACATTCAAAAAATTGACGGTAATATGAGCTGAATGTTAATATTTTCTCTGAGTTATGATAAAATTTGATACTAGAATCTCAAACGACTATAATATCTCAGACAATAGATTAACATCCAACTCATATTATCGTTAATCTTTTAATAAAAAAAATGAGTTTGAAACATAATAAATAGTCAGTAACAATTTTGTAACTTTAAATAGTCGAGGGACTCAACAAAGTAACACCATATAGTCCTAGGACCATTTGTATACTTTACGTTTTAATATATGTGTTATAATAAATTTAATGATATTCTTTGTTTATTTTTTTTAAATATTCTAAATTTTAACCTTTTTTTGTCTCTTTTGATTTATTATTCTTTAATTTAATAACAAAATAAAAATTATAAAATTTAAAGATCATTTTATTTGTTGATTTTTAATTTCATGGATAATAGTATCATTAAACCTTACAAAAAATCTAATTATTAATGTTGAAAACATTTTGATATTTCGATATAACAAATTAAGTTAAATGAATTTTAAGATTTTCCAAATGATTTTCTAAGTATATTCGATAGAATTATTCGAATATCAAAACATTACTCCAAATCTTTCAAAGATCATTTTTAATCCTTACTCAAAGTGTAAAATAAAGTTTTAATCTTAAAACAATTTCAAAATAATTTTACAAAGTATTGCGAACCATTTCAAAGCCAAAAATTCCAGATTGCTCAGAGGGAACCGATTCCCCCTAAGGGGGTACCGATTCCCCCCTGAATGGTTTGGCTCCGAGAATTCCAGTATGCTCGGAGGGAACCGATTCCCCCCAGAGGGTACCGATTCCCCCCTTGTATAACGGTCGAAATATTTGAATTTTACACTTAGGGAACCGATTCCCCATAGGGGGTACCGATTCCCCCCACGCTCCAAGCTATTTTATTAATTGTTTTCACACTAAAACGACTATATGATCTTCACTAATCATTCCCAACGTTAAGAAGTGATTCAAGGTGTATTTAAACAAGTTCTGAAGCCCTTGATCAATAAGAAATTATAGAGAAACAAGAGTGAAAGCATCAAACACAAAGTTTGTGCAAATCAAGCCAATTTTCCTTTCAATATTCATTTTGCTTTCAAAGAACACCATTTGTGCTCATTTGTAATTATTTGTGAGTGTTCTTTTCTTGTTCTAGAATTGTGCAAACATCTTATCTTGTGAGGTTTTCCTTGTAAGTTTGCAAATTTGTAATCTTCTCTTTGGAAAGAGTGTTCTCAAGAATTGGGGTATATTCTTGAGGGTGTTGTAAGGTTATCTCTTTGGCCTCAAAAGAAAGAACAAATTAGTGAATTTGTTGGAAAATCCTTAGTGTGGATAGCTAAGGTAGTGGACGTAGACTTTGATTGAGAAAGTCGAACCACTCTAAATCGATGTGCAATTACTTTCAATTTTCTGCAAAAGCTTCCACCAAATTTTTAATTGCCAATTCACCCCCTCTTGGCCAATTCCGTCAATAGATTAACTCAACAATTGGCATCAGAGCCTAACTCATTTGAAGGTTTAATCGCCTCTTGAGTCGATTCGGGAAGAGTTATATCGATAATCAAAGTCATCAATGGCCTCCGCTTCAAACTTCGACTCCGGTCTCGACTCGATGCCCGTCAACAAGCCTCCTTTCTTCAATGGAGCTAACTATGCCTATTGGAAGAATAGAATGATGTACTTCATTCAAGCAAGTGACATGGGAACATGGAATGCTGTAGAAGAAGGATACATCAAACCTCTCACTCATCCAAGGTTGTGGAGTGAATGAGAGACAAGAATGTTCCAACTCAACTCTAAAGCCATCCATATCATTTTTTGTGCTCTTGGACCAGATGAATACGGAAGAGTTTCATCGTGTACAACCACCAAAGAAATATGGGACAAACTTCAAGTCACTCATGAAGGTACCGATGAGGTAAAGAAATATAAAATTAGTATTCTAACGCATAGCTATGAAAATTTCAGGATGAAACCAAATGAAGATATCAAAGCTATGACGGATAGATTTTCAACGATTCTCAATGGTCTCAATCATATGGAGAGATCATTTCAAATGAAAAGCTTGTGAGGAAGTTAGTCCACTCCCTCCCAAAATCGTGGCAATCAAAAAAGACGGCAATCATCGAGTCTAAGGACTTAACGTCCTTAACTCTTGAAGAGCTAATTGGGTCACTCCTCACTCATGAAATGATGCTCGAAGATGAGGTGGACCTCGACAAGATTGACGAGACACCAAAGGAGAAGAAGAAAAACATTGGAGTTGCTCTCAAATCCACAAAAGATGAGAGTGATTCGAATAACGATGACGATGATGAGGAAATGGCATTGTTTGCCAAATGGTTCAGAAAAATTATGAGACCTTATCGAGAAAGAAAATTCAAACGAAATGAAGGCCTCAAAAATGAACCAAAAGAGAAGGACCCAATCATTTGCTACGAATGCAAAAAGCCAGAGCATGTCAAATATGATTGCCCACAATTGAAGAAAAAGGAATCAAAGAATAAACACAAGGCTCATGTGGCTACATGGAGCGATGAAGAAAGTTCCGATGAAGAGGAACAAGAAGTAGCTAACTTGTGCTTGATGGCATTTGGGGAAGATTATAAGGTAACCTCTAACTCATCCGATTTTGATGATTTATCCTATGATGAGTTATTAGAGGAATATAATGGTTGGCTTCGGATTATGAGAAATTATTTTTAAAATATAAAAATGATGTTTCAAAATTGAAAAATGAAAACAAACTCATATCCAAAACCAACAACGATCTTGAAAGTAAAATCAAAGATTTGCAAATCAAACTAGAAGAGTTTGAAAAGAAAAATTTAGATTTGCAAAATTTACTTTCAAAGATCAATGATGATCATCAAAAGAAAATTGATGATCTTAAAACTTCTTTTGATAAAGTTGGAACAAAACATTTTGAAAAAGGTGGAAATTCAAAATCCAACTTTGTTAGAAAAAGTTTTAGAAACTACAATCATAGAGGTCCCCAAAGAACCTCTAATGGAAAAATCGTTAGAAGTATG